CCAGAGGTCAGCATTGCGCAGTAGAGACACTGTGGCTGTCAACAGGGAGCGCTCGGACGATGGCGTGTAAATCGTAGGGTATTCTGCAGACCGTGATGTTTCGTTATGTTCATAAATCTTGTTTCTCTCGGATGGAGATTATTGCACTCGATCGACGTTGGGTCAGGTTTACGGACCAGGTCTGTGGGATGAGGTCCGCGGTGTTTGGGGATGCGCAGTGCGCCTCGCTGCCGCTGCTGACTGGGACTGCTGCAGTGTAAACAAGATTGTCCGAGGCTGCATCGCTGCTGTCTGTGGGGCGAAAGACACACCGACACAGTGCCAAATGCTAGCTGACTTCTTGGCTTAACGAGCGACACTTTCATCATGAACCGTCCGCGGTTTTTCACTGCGCAACGATTTCAGTTCTGCAGAGGACAAGCTGGCCCGGTTTTCTTCTTTTAATTAAACTGGACATCTGTCACTTCTGAGCAAATGCACCTCTTTCTCGTTTGATTAATCAGATGGACTTTGCCGCTGAGGAAGTATCGACTCCCTCTTGAATCTCAGGAAAAATGACAGACAACCAGGAAACCCCAGATGCTGAGGACGCGATTCCGTCCGGGAGCACGACCTTGCCGCCCCCGCCGCCGCCGCCGCTCCGGCCGCCGTGCGAGCGCCTCCCCTGCCACAAGAGCAGCGTGTGCTCCCGCTCCTACTTCGTGGTAGTAATGGTGTTTTTTCACGTATACATCATTAATGTTATTGCACTGTTGTTTTACGTGCACTACAACAGCGGGCAGGATGATGCCAACCGGAGTCGTGATGCACCCAGCGGTAACCACCACCAGCGCCCCGAGTCGGGACGTCCGCCATCAAAGCCTGAGTTTCTGCGTGATGTTTCTCTAACAAGAATCGAGGGAATAAGGGTGAGTAATGTGATGATGCACCAGTCCCACTCATTCATTTACTCATACTCTTTCTCTCTCTCACACACACACACACACAAACACAAACACACACTATAGGCACCACCAAATCACTTTTGGTTTATGTTTTTTTAGGTGGGACATGTCCAGAAGGTGTCACTGGTGCCAGGCAAAGTGCATGAAATGCGCACTCTGAGTCTGAAACCTCTGCTGTTTGGTAAGAGCCATAGACACCCATGTGGCAAAACAAATTTTACAGCTCACCCACATGAGCCTCTAGTGGCCAAACAGGTTTCTTATTCCTATTAATGCAAATATATTTTACATTCACAACACACTGTCCATCTTCATCCCAACCAACCCCCCCTAAACACACAGCACAGTGTGTACATGTGTGCTAAGATCAATGAAATGGGCCAATAAGTCCTGAGGCAACTACTCAACAATACACATCGGACCCAATTAAGGGCTTACAGCTGACTGAATAGCACAGCTAGCTGTGCATCAACATGCAGTGTTTTGTTGTTAGATGGTACAAGTGTGAAAATGTTTGTTGCTCTGTTTTCTAAATTTTTACATGTTTTGTTTTGGCTACAAGCGTAAATTAACTATAAATGAATGGTTCAGTGCTGATATTAATGATACCTCTTGGCATCAGTTGGTCTGCAAAACTGCCAGCTGATTAAATGATTGTCTACTTTAGGGCTACAACAACTATTATATTGACTGTTGATTTAATGGCTGATTATTTTCTCTATTTTCTTTTCTGTTTTTCTTACAACTTCCCAGAGGCAATGAAATGATTTGTTAGATATAAAAAAAACTGTTAACAGAGTTGTCTGTTAAAACTAGAGACACTTGTTAAAGGAACATTGGTACATTACAGTCTGGTCTCACGAGGAAGCAAATCAGAAAATGTGAAGCATGCAGCTAAGAAAATGTCGTAATCATGCAGTCCTTTTGACCCAAGAGACTTTCCTCTTAACTCTATAACTGTTTGTTTTTCTGCAGAGATCCCTGAGTTTTTATCGAAGGATGAGTGCCGTGTTGTGATGCAGCTCGCACAGCTAAAGGGTCTGATGGAGAGCCAGCTGATGGTGCAAGATGGCCAGGAAGAGCTGGCCAAGGAGCTCAACCTCAGCCCGGAGGAGATCTTCAACCTTCTTGATATCAACCAGGATGGACAGTTGCAGCTCCATGAGGTGTATGTCAGTTTGTGGATTGTGAGCACATACTGTGAAGAATGATGTGCACTAGTTGTTTGGTTCAGAGTTGGTAAATTCATCCTGTCTTTACTATCGTGCCTCCCACAGATTCTGACTCATTCTCGAGTGAGGGACGGCATCTGGCTCACACCGGAGAATCTGCGTGAGATCTATGCTGGGCTCAAAGCTGACAAGGATGGTAATGGTGAGAAATAAACTTCATTCGTCATTTTGGGTCTTGGTACTAGAGATGTAACAGTAATAAATGATGATTAAAAAAGAGTCCTTTGTTTCTCAGACAAAAGTATATTTAATTAATTAACAATGAATATATTCTTAAACGTTGTGAAAGTGAAACTGAAGTCTTTGCACCTTGATACCATCATTGATATCAAGGTTAATTTTTCATCTCACCATTTGAATCTTCACGTATTTGTTTTGCAGTTTAAGTGTCTTGTGATATATCTTTACATTAGTAATGAATACTTTTCCCCAATCTTCTCTAGTGGCACAGAAATGTATCTTTTTGCATTGTGTTTTATTTTGAAATCCATTGTTTGTGTTACAGATCAGTAGTGTGTGTGTTTATTTGTACATAAAATAGTATTTTTGAATGCGTGAGATAATCTCAAACATTTTTATACACTTCATTAAAATGCTACCTAGAAACTAGTTGTACAAGGCCAGGAGAGATAATAGTGGTGGGTGGTGGGTTTTGGGCTAAATGTTGGGCAAATTAATCTACAGATTCTTTATTTATTTCAGTGTGACCCCTCTTTAAAGGTTATGGTCTAGTATGACAGCAATTGTTCCTTTTCAGATTGTTTCACTTGAAAAGTTTTTGGAGGCCTGAAGAAAAAATTGAGATGATTTAATGTATTTTTCTAATTAACTTTTTTGAATACTGGGCTACTGTCTGAACTATCTTCAGTATACTGTGTATGTTGATATGTGTACTATAATGAGATAAAGAGTGTGACATGTGTCTGAACACACAGCATAAAAATAATATGTACATTGTCATATTTTGGACAGGTTTGCTGAGTCTAGAGGAGTTCAGGCTCCTGAGCAATGATGCCTTCCAGCGCTTTCTGATGCAGCAAGGAGTGAAAAGGAGTCAGCTGGTGAGGAACAGCAGACACACCTGGCTGTACCAGGGCAAAGGGGCACACCAGGTCCTCCAAGACATCAAGGAGAGGTAAGCAAGTTCGAACAATGTCCTCTTAATGCTGAGGTGCTATAATAAATCATATACTGACATAATAATGAAGAATACTTCCAGACTTCCAACTTCCAGATGTGTTTTTTTTTATACCTTTAACAAAGGGTGACTCGCCTCACTCGGCTCCCGCCCTCATTAGTGGACCTCAGCGAGCCGCTCCAGGTGGTTCGCTATGACGAAGGAGGACACTACCACGCCCACCACGACAGCGGCCCTGTGTATCCTGAAACGGCCTGCACACACACGCGCCTCGCAGCCAACATGTCAACTCCGTTTGAGACGTCTTGCAGGTGAGACGACACGAGGTGCCACTTCCTCGTATCTATTCAGATCTGAATTCATCCGTCCGGTGTGATTACTAAACGCTGTATTCATTGTGGCAGCTGGCATGCTAGTTTTTGTGACTCAGCATTGTTCATTTTGGAAAATTGTGTGCTTGCCACTTGTTTGCAAAGTGTTTGTAAGTGTGTGTTTGTTTGCATCATACATGTGTGTGTCAATTTAAATCTGTGTTGCACACCTAGGTACATCACAGTTCTCTTCTACCTGAACTCTGTTGAGGGGGGTGGGGAGACCGCATTCCCTGTGGCAGACAACAGGACCTATGATGAAGTGGTGCGTAATTGTGTGTGGGTCTGGAAATGTGTGCGGAGAGCGCTGCAAAAGTATTGTGTACATACTGTGCATGTCTTTCATATCTGTGTTAACTCACGTGTTTGTCAGTTAGTACTTGGGCCTGACGTTAAACAAACTGTGTCGCTGAGTTTGATTGTGTGTTTTAGTCTCTCATACAGAATGACGTTGACCTTTTGGACACCAGAAGGAATTGTAACAAGAGTAACCTGAGGGTGAAGCCTAGCAAAGGGACTGCTGTTTTCTGGTACAATTACCTTTCTGATGGAAGAGGTAAGATTCCCATCAAAAATTACAGCACAATGTATTAACCTGGTTAATGTAATGTCCAACTTTACAGTTGTTATCACAGTATGAATGAATAGACTATGCTCCTTGAGGCTGTACTTAGGCACAGTGGTGTTTAATCTAAATGCAATTGCCAGCTTGCAAACATGCTCATAAAGACAATGCCAACATGCTAATAATGTTTATCAGGTATGTTTATCACAGTATGTACACCATCTTAGAATAGCATGTTAGCATTTGCTACTTAGCATTAAACATATACAAGTAGTACAGCTGAGGCTGATGGGAATGGCTATTTGCTCATAAACCAAAGTATTTGTCAAATTAGCCTCATGGTAGCGCTAGATTAAAAGCCAGATGATCACCAAAGTCATTTGGATAGATTGTACAGGGGACATGAATGTTTGCATGTTCTGTTAGATGTTGAGACATTTCACTGGTGAAATCGTTGACCTAATGATGGTAGTAGATCCAAAGTCAGAGATCAGCAAATACATCCTCTGGGGACGATGATTGTCTTCAGTTGCAGAGATACAGTCTTTGAGTCTGGATTGGTGGGTTGACATTGCCATATTGCCCCTAGAGCCACCAGCTAAAAAATGGTTACTTTAATAGTACCCGTAGGTAACTTTGGTTTGCAGCATAAGACAAGGAATTCCTCTTGACAGAATATTTTAACAACTAGGACAGTGGACAATCATGGGATGGTCCAGGCTCTAAAAATCAGGACTTATAATGAGAAACTACACCTGAAATAACATTTTATTAATTTATTTCAATTCTGTTCATCTTGGCATGTTACATCATTTAACATTTATTTTTCATGGCACAATTCAGGCACAGAGCAAAAGTCAATATATAAAATACAGTCAAAAGGTTGAGATTAATGCCCATAGTGGTTGTGTTGTATCTATAAAAACACCAAATATACTGTTTAAGAAAGTGAATTTAAGGTTGATAGTTTTCCAAATAAACTCAGGTGTTAGTTTGGAGAATAAAACCACTCAAGTAATTCATCTTGACCAACCAGTTGAAGCAGTGTGTCTGTCACAACATCAGTGTGAGCCCTGTGTGTTACAATATGGATGCTGACACTAAATTGGCTTTTTTCCCCATAATAGGTTGGGTGGGAGAGCAGGATGAATACGCTCTGCATGGAGGCTGTGTGGTCACCCATGGCACTAAGTGGGTCGCCAATAAATGGATCAACATTGATCCAGATTACCAGCGGCAGGCTCGCTACCAGCAGCTGGTTTCACAGCAGCCAGAGGACGAGGAGGATGAAGAAGGTCTGACTCTGAACCCGGACATACAGAGTTCTGATATCCATGAAGACTTGTAGCTTGTAAACCAAATTTATATTTAAAAAAAATCTACCTAGCCTTCCAGTCCTGTGCACAACTTCTTTGGCAATGTCCTCTGTGGCCAGTATGTGGAGACAAGATTTATTCAGGGAACGAGGTCGCAGTGGATTTATGCAACTGTAAAGAGATGCTTTTGTTAAATATTGCTTGGATATTGTTATCCTGTTATTTTTTAATCTGCTGTGATTTCCCATTTTAGGAATGTTGCACTAGAAACTCATTAAAGGAGTTGAGACAAAAAAAAGTCCTTGCATGCATTAGCGTCACAGGTTTTGCTGTTACTATGAGCAAAAAATTGCACTTGAAAATTGAAATGGCTACCGTCAACATTTCAATGTCCTACCTTGTTATTGCAGCCATGACCAAAAAGGCTCACACACCCTCAGTGTGATGCATGTTGCCTTGTCTTTGTTCTTTCAATGAATCATTATTTTCTGTCATATTCTTTTCAAAAGGGTATTGTTTGGATGTTTCATTTCATGTATTTATGTATTTTCTTGTCATTAAAACTGCACTGTATCACTCTCACACTCAATAAAGTTAAATTAAGCCTGTGTCTTTAGCGTTAGTCTTCCTACTTTAAAGACGAGATGTATAAATATCAATAGAACTCAAAGATAAAATGAAAGTGAAACACTACAATATTTAATACTACAATCAGTGATTCACATGTATTGTTTGTTTTATGCTCAGCTCTCAGCTTCTGATAGTCCGCCCAGTAAGTGTTGAGTTTTTCCATCTTCAGCACTGGATTTCCTATTTCGTTGAAGTCCTTAAAGTTTTGTGCTGCTGTATGCATCCTGAAATCAACCAGTTTTAAGAAAGTAATTAAGCTTAAATGATTAAATGTCAATGTTCAGTGTTGATAATCAACTGTTAACTTAATGCTACATGTCAGTATAACGTGTTATATATGCAGCTAACTATGTTTACTAAGTCACTGGAAAGTTCACTATCAACACTGGACCATTCAAATGAAGTGTGAACTGAACCTGAAAGCTGAACATCAGCTGCATATACTCACCACTGAAGGCTCGGATCTGGGGATTGATGTTGCTCCACGATGGTTCTGACAGTAGAGCACAGCATCATGAACGGAGGCAAAAAGACGTCTCTTTGTTATTGACTCTGTGAAGAAGCCACCGAGCTCTAATTGTTCCACCACAGAGGCTGAAGAGACAACCATTTACAGCCAGATTACCACCATGATAAAGTTTATTCATGTAGTACAGCCTGAAGGAAGTGAAAAGGTATTCACTTACCTTGACAAGCAGCCATGTAGATATCTACATCGATCTCACAAAAGTCCTGGAAAATCTGTCAATATAATAAATACAAAATATTTCTCCTCATTAAACGTCACTACTGCACCAACCTTTAAACATCTGTTTCTTCCACATCAGGAGCTACTAATGATAATCAGTCCAATAATCTATCTCACATAATAATAATAATCATCAGGGTTGATTTAACTGTAAGAGAAACAAATAGAAAACTATTAATTTTGTCTGTTTTAATGTAAATTAAAGTTTAACTATTTTAGTGCTCAGCAGCGTTGAGCTGCTAGTTATTAAAAAAGTGTAATATATTCTCTATACTCATCACTCTCTTAAAAAGTAATGTAATTACTTATTACTCCCTGCCAACAGTAATTAGTTACACTACTAACTATATTACTTTTCTGCAATTCCCCAGAAAATTGTGTCCCTTCTCCCCAAAATTCAGACTTAAGACGATTAAAATCCAGTTTTGTTTGTTAAAATCAAAGTAATGTAAATGTTTCCATCTTCCAAACTAGTTTCCTCTATGATTACAAAAATGAATCCAAGGATGTGATTGGATTGTTGGATTTTAAATCAGTAGAGGGTGACAACTAAAGTAATACTGTAACTAATTATTTGGAGGAGTAACTGTAATATTATTACTGAAATGTATTAGTAATTAATTACAGTAGTAGTTACTGGGAAAAGTAATATTATTTCAGTCAGCCAACTCACATTTGAAATGTTTATTACAACAGTATAGCATATTTAGATTTTGGCATCTAGGCTCCGACCTCATCATTCCCCGCAGATATGTTTACATAGAGATATTGGGGAGTGATGAGCAAATACCTTGACCCCCTAGCCAGAGCCTACAGATGGATGCTGGGGTGGTTGTCGGGCTTACAAAGCAGCAGCAGCAGCAATACAGATGCAAGGCAACAGCGGCATTGACAGAGCAGTGGGAGAGCTGGGAAATTGTGCAGTTTAAATAGACCGCCAAATTGTAAGGGTGCGCTTGGTTAGTGATTATGGAGTGAGGCATGTCATGTGTGTATAACAGTGCAGCTCTAGTTGACTGTCTGAAATAGCTCGCAGGCTTCGCTCCATTACTGTACTGCCTAACACTGTTGCTCAGAGAGGCCAATATCAGTGCTCATTATAAGTGTTATATCTGTTTTCTCTGTTTTTTTGTATTGTTTTGCATGTTAATATATCAACATTGAATAACTTGCTGTTTATAAAAACACAACTCCTAAGCTCTCACTGTAAAACTGCCACAGCAACCTGTGTATGTTGCTCATGCTTCTCAAATCAGACTTTGACACCTGAAAGTATAAGGGGTCCCCCTCTAAGCTTCCAAAACAAGGGACAATTAAGATATTTTCATTGATTTGTTTAAAGGGTATTTGTCCTTTTTTTACTTACATTTTTCATAGTCTTGATGGCCACTGTGTCGATGAAGTTAGCAGTGGAGAGGTCTATAATGATGGAGTGAATGTCCCAGGTCCACTTGCCCAGTGACCCGAGAGAGACCCGCTCCAGGTCGTGACTCAGAGTGTCCTCACTGCTGGAGCCCAGAGTGGTGGTGTCCCCATCCTGCAGCTCAGATATCCACCCTATGCTGGTGCAGTCTGGATCTCCTCCTTTCAGGTACTCCCATCTACAGTGGCCGTCTGGTGTTCGAGGAGTGGTTGGGATGACAAACACTGTCCCGTTTTCCCTCTCAGTCCATCGCTGCTCCTCCTTGTCTGTAACATCCCCGTCCAAGCACGTGTCCCTCCAGCTGCCGGCCTCTTCCTCCACAGAGAACACCGGTGCTCCAGAATGCTGCTCAGCTGCCCTCCTCTGTGTCCGTTTCTGCAGAGTCGGAAGAAAAATAATTCAAACTTCTGTGAGGTATGTTGGCTTGACCTGTACAATGTGACAGCAGGGTCTCTTCAGTCATCTAGTTACTGTAACTCACAGGATTTTGGTGCTAATTCTCTTAACACATAAATTATAAGGTGACTAATGGGCCAAACACCAAATAATCATTGTAGTCTTCGAAATGTTTTGTAAAATGTCTACAAACAATCCATTTTTCTGCAATTATGTTATATATTTCCAGCACATTACCTCTCTCTTGGCTTGCCTTTTGGCTCGTCTCTCAGCCCTTCTTTCTCTACGTTTCTGTTTGGCCTCCTGCCTCCTCTTATAGATAATCATTTTACTGATGTCAAGCCCACTCTGGAAAAAAGATAAAGAAGAAAAGAAACACAGAATAATCTTGCATCTTATGAAAATATAATAAAAGGAAGAAAAACAAGAAATGAAGGCATCGGTAAAGAAGAGAGGACAAAATTCTTTAAACTGAGAGATTTGTTTTGTCATATCTGATAATACATTGAATATCTTTGGCTCTTCGACTGACGGTGTGATAAAACAAGGAATATGAGGGTGCCACTTTGGAAATTATAATGAGCATTTTTTACTATGTTCTGGCATTTTAGAGAAAAAGAAACATCAGATTACCCAATAATGAAAATAATAATTAGTTATTAAGAGAACCAACCTTTTCTTTCAGAGCTTCAAGGTAGAGCTCAGCATTGGCAAAATACACCGTAGCAGAGGAGCGAAATATAGTAACACCTGGAATCTCTCTCGCCTGCCAAACAGGAATGAATCATTAGTTTTTTTGTAGCATGAGAAGAAAAGCTTGTATTTATGGCTTCTCATCTTTCTATTTTACCTCTCTGTGTGTCTCTATATCCACATACAATTCTGTACCTGGAACATTTCCCAGAACTGAGTACGTTGGTCTGAATGGAATAAAAAACACAAAATTATAATGTATTTTGTCTAATCTGGCAGAACCTAAACACACACACACACACACACACACACACACACACACACACACACACACACAAACACACACAGTATGACTCAGATACTAAAGTATACTATGATGAGGAGTCTTACAGCTGAGTTCTGAAGATAACGGTAAGCAGAGCAAAGGTGATCGATGCCGCCAGACCCAGATCCAGATTGAACAGCAGTGTTGACATCCAAGTAACCAACCATACCATCTGTGGGGGATACAACATGACATTACTCGTTCTGTAGAGTGACAATGAAAGATTAATGACACTGAATGCTACAGCACTAATTTAACCTCTCACCAGATCAATCTTGCTGCTTTTCCACAGTGTGACAATGTCAGAGTACTGCTTGAACATGCCCTTCAGATTCACAAAGACAATCGCTGCAAGGACAGCCTAAACAAGCACACACACACATTTTAACATTATTTATCAGCCAAAAATCCATTACATTACACAAAATACATTGTGCATCATAAATATTAATTGCAAATCGCTTTACAGTAAATAGAAGTGGTAGAGCAGCAGGACCTTTGGCAGCTCCTGGAACAGGGGTCCAAGTTTCAGTATAGTTATCAACACAATTAGAGCTGAGGCCACTCCAGCCATCTGCAAGAACAACACAGTTTCTGGTTTTATTGAAATATTTGTGATCAACAGGCTTGTTAACATATTAGTTTGTACAGCAGTCCATTGTTTGAGAATAGCTTGATTACATGTCAGCACATATTTCTAATATTTAGTGGTCCCCCTACAACTATTAAGTGTCTTAACTAGGTCATATTCATTACATACTTACAGTACAAGTATTGCATGTTGCATGTACATAGTACAAAGTGGCTTGTGAGGCAATGCTGACTTCTTAACTGTCTCTATTTATAATGTTGTCACTTCTGCTGCTCACTCACTTGTGTTTTTCCTCCAGTGGTCTCTTGGATGAGACTTCGAGACATGGATGGGCAGACAGAGTAGCACTGGAAGAAGCCTCCCACTGTATTACTGAGGCCCAGCGCCACCAGCTCCTGCAGCCGAGTGAAGGCAGAGACAAGAATACAACAGAGAAACAGAGAAATACTGAGAGAAAGGAATACAGAATGTGAAAATTATTTTGTACCAATGGTATATGCAGGATTAAAAATTAAGGCATTTGATAGGAGTTTTGGTTTACCTGGTTACTGTCCACTTTGTATCCATGTTTCAGTGCAAATGTTTTCCCCAGTGAAATAGATATAGCATATCCAACAATGGCTAATGCAAAAGCATCACCTATAACTTCTCCAAAAAGACTCACATCTGGAACACTGGGAGAACTCAGACTGGTGCAAAGGTAAAGGACAAGAAGTGATGAGAAACAATGTGTTTGTTCTAAACAAGCTAGGAATATAACTCAACAAATAATAAAATCTAAATGCTTACCCACTAGGAATTTCTCCAACAACTGCAATAGTGAAGTTGCTGTTCAAATGGCCAAAGGATGATATCAATGTTCCTGCCACAATCTGAAGCATCACAGAAAACATACAGATCGTAAACACACACACACACACAAAGAAGACACATTTTGCAATACAAACAAACTTTCAATCATTACAAATCTGATAAATCATATGCTAGATGGGAGCCTAACTATTGGCCACAAATATCTCCTTTTTGCTGTGAACTGCACAAATGCAGAGGCACTGCCACTACTGCTGACTCAGCAGCTTGGTTCCACTGTGTCTGTGCTTTTTTTTTTTTTTGTGCTGCAACATCAGCAGCAGCACAGAGCGCAGAGGTAATGACATGAAAAGAGGCCAGAGAGTGTGTCCTCGTGTCAACTGACTGTGATGAGCTCCACTGGGATAGGCACTGGCAGCTTTGGACTGAGAAAAGAGTTGAGCTCCTTGGCTGCAATTAGAAACACCATGGACACTGCGCTGGCCACCAGTGTGGGAAGATGAGTGTGTGGCAACAAGGAGCAAACATCCTTCAGAGTCTGAAAATGTAAAGCAGGAGGTGGTTAAGGCTTACTGCATAAAAAACATGCAAGGTAAGATGCACCCTAGCCCTTAGCTTTTATGTCATAATTAAATAAGAAAGGGACATCTCCCCCTTGTCCACACATTCTGCAAGCTATATTGTTGACACATCTTACAATAAATACCCCAAATGATAATAAAAAAAATAAATAATTTTGTTTTCCATCAAAGGTATATTGCTGTTAGTTCTTGAAACACTATTGTAACCTCGTGTCCCACTTCAACAACATCCTGTTTCCAGCCTGAAATATATAACATTAGGAGAATCTCCACACTGCTAATTTTACAGTGGAACAACTCTGAACTCTTGTCGCATTATGGTGTAAGTACATGTTATGTACATGTCAACTCGATGGACTTACGGAGAAGGGTTCAAATGTACCTTTTTATCTTTAAATCCATTCTTGGTAAACTTCCTGTTTACCTTTGTAAAATGTATTTTCCTGTTTCTAACAACTATCAAACCAGATCAGCTTGATGGATAATATTCACTGTCCCTAGAGTCTGCTCAGAACTTCAAAGCCTTGACATTTTTTTTGTACTATGCATCCTTGGCTTAGAGTAATTTACAAGATAAACCTAAATGCAAATGTTGCCTTCATATCAGACATTCAAGCATAACATTAAACATTTAAATACATGTTATCTTTATCATTTTTCTAATGTTGCTTTGTTTTCTTGTGCTATACAGTGAATGATTATTTTAAATATTTATGTGTGTTCTTACGTAACTATGATATCTTATGCTGTAAAGAGATAACGTATGTCAAGAGACTTTTAAATAAAGTTAAATAAAGGTTAAATAAAAATGATGAGGAATGCACATTAAACTTTTTTGTGGGTGTTTAAGTTTTATATGTGTGCTGTCTGTACAATAATGCAATCAAATCAGTACTGTTGTATTAACAAAAACACATGAATCACAACCAAATAAATGACAGTACTTACATACACCAGCGACAAGGAACCGCTAAACCGTGTTGGTGAAACTCCAAAGATGTACTTCAGTTGTGCCACCACAGCATGGGCTGCAGCAGCTGTTGTGTAAGCCCGCACCAGAGGTTCAGACAAGTACGTTCCCACAAATCCAAACTTTACCAAGCCCAGTACCACCTATACAAACATTTATGTATAGCCTATATGAGTTTTGGTTGTTACAACAAAAGAAGATATTGTTATTTCTGTGGGATGTTGTGTTCAGACCTGAATAAGTCCTCCTAGGACAGTAGTAGCAGCCGCCACCTGCACCCTGTATGAGTCCCGGGCTGTTATGTCCAACTCTGCAGTGATGTTGGTCCCGTTTCTTTTCAGGAAATCCATGTCTGGAGCAAGTCTCTCTGTCACACTACCCACCATGATGCTGAGCACGGTAAATGTACCTGAACACAATAAAAGTACACATGATATTAGAGGTCATAATGGCCATAGTACTATAATAACAGTCTCTCTACCTACCGATGGAGATATGACGTGATGTTCCAAAAAAGATGTAGATCAACGCTGGGTAGAGGGATGTGTAAAGCCCAAATACTGGAGGTAACGAAGCCAACAATGCATATGCCATACCTGTGAAAAAACAGATGTCTTATCACACCTGTCTCAGTTTACAAACAATAAATATTTGTATGAAGCTGTTCTAGTTTTTACAGTAGTATTACTGGCAAATATTCTGTAAAAGGATAGCATATATTTGTGGATTCTTTGTGTTTGATTATGGAATAAATTATACATTTATTATATGTTTTTGTCATACATCCTCATGATTGAAAATTTCACTTTGAGACATAAAACCATGTGAGTTTTTTCAGCCGTTGCTGTCATACCTTGTGGCAGGTGCATTATGCCCACACTGATGCCAGAGATGAGGTCTGGCATGCCATAGTCCCAGACTGAGTACTTGGGCAGCCAGTATAACACAGGCAAGCTGCTCATCACACTTCGTTTCAGTTTGGGTAATGTACATCTGGAGGGGATTTGAAGGAAGACAAAACTGAATCATCTTTTTTATTGGATGGTGTCTTAAAGCATAAATTCCTGAAAGTAGGTGTTGGTCATGTTTGAAAAGAAGTCCAGAACATACATCTACATCAACAGTACAGTAAGCGTCAAAGTTACAAGATCAAGTCATAAAACTTGCCTCACCTTAAGGAGTCTTTGAGCCGTTCAGTTAGAGAAGGGTGAGTGTCAGCATAAGTTTTTCTCTGCGTTACCTCTTCCAGTCTCTGCTCATCCAGCACTTCCCGCTCCACTCTGTATTTCCCAAACTTTCGTGTAGAGTCCATTGGGCTCAATCTCTCAAAATCTGTGCAACTTAATTTTCTTTACTCTTTAAAGTGCCAACCAACCAAACTTTCTACGAAATGCCAATGTACTACTGTCACTACGACGAGTGTATATGTACATCATATTGCATAATGGTTAACTAGAGTCAGGATGTTGTGGGCTGAGCCTCTTCATGACGAAGAGGAAGACCGGAAAAAGATGTAATTAATTATTATGTGATAGATTAATGTTTTAGGAGGGGTAGTTAATAGATAGAGAGTGCTTAAGGGGGTTTGTGTTATATGGTAAGGGGATAACTGATAAGCATTTGGTCACAGTCACAATGTCAGATCCAAGGACCATTTTTGTGAAAGACCTAAACCTTCCATGAATAATTTAGATAAGCAATGTAAGTAGGACATATAAGGGAGAGCATTCTGGAAGTTGGGAGGGAACGCCCATGCTATGGTCTTCCCTCCATGCGGCAAGAGTAAAGAAATTTGATTCATCACACTGGGTTCGTAATTCTTCGGAGAATTAGCAACTCTCAATATTATGGAAGAATTTCCCCTACAGTCTAAAAAAGTTAACTCTGTTAAATTTCAATGGATGTTTGACCCGTGTGTTTCCATTCTACAAGTTTTTCCATTCACTTGCAAAAGTAGAGCTAATGAGCCATGAAAGGCCACATTAAACTCAAATTACATTGGTTAAATGAGTCTTTACAAGGGCTACTTCTTAACAAAATACTCAAAATATTTAAGTTGTATAAGTGGTTTCTCTTAAAAATTGCCAAGTGGTCAGTTAACATCCAACACAATGCTTGCAGGTCAGAAAGTAAATACGTTTATTCTATGACCTACATTATGATTGGTGCAACAGTCTTGAGAATTCTGAGGTCCAATTTTTGACACACGTGGATCTAAAGTTCACTGGGCCTTTAAGAGAGTGCCGTCATGAAATCTGAAGCTGAGAGCAATATTTCATTTCAGTCATTCCAGAGCTGCATACACGTGACTGAGGCAAAGAAACTGGAACAGAGAATTTCCCCAAACAAAGTACAACATAATGCCAATGAGTCAAATTAGGAATGTCAGAATAATTCACAATATTTGTCGCTGCCATGGCTTAAAAACTTGCTCTCTCTTGGTCACACAAACCCCTCTGACCCACTTGCTGTGTGCCACAACACTGTCTATTTTTGGGTTAGGAGCTCAGAGGGCCACAGCAGTGGAGGGGGTACATATCTTTGTGTCTTGCAATTGCTCAGACCCTCTCTAACCCCCCTGACTGACACATTCGGCAGCATCAACAGCACATGTATGATGAAAAACATGGACATTTACTGGACTTTTTAGACCAAAGATAGCAGCAGACAATAGGAGCTGATGACTTTGGTAAGGATTGTACATGGGAACTGAATCCAGCATGTTTTGGACAGCTGTAGTGCTAACTTAAGAGAGCGCAGACGATGGTAGTATTATGCTAGTATTTGTTGTATCTAAAGCTAATTAGAAACAAAAACGTGTATTAAATTTAGATTAGAAAGGTCAATGTTTAAGTATGATGTTATGAAATATCCTTACAGGGTTTTCATTCCTTATAACATCATAAGGATGTGGTTTTGCAAATACTGTTTAATGTCCAATGCTTATCTACAATTTCATCATGAGGACAGCTGAAATGAACATTTTTAGATTTGTTTCTGTTTTTTTCTTTGTTTTTCAGAGACAACCTCCTGAGTAGTTTTTCAGAGCGGATAAAACTTCCTGTGTAACTTTGTAAATATTATTGTCGCTAAAGAGTTGACGCAAAATGGATCTTACAGCCAAACACGGGCTGGTGTTGCTCGACCAGCTGAGGAAGATGAGGGAGACGGAGCATCTGACAGATGTGGTGCTGGTTGCTGAAGGCATCAGCTTTCCCTGTCATCGAGTTGTTCTAGCCGCCTTTAGCCCGTACTTTCGCGTTATGTTCACCTGTGGCCTGCGCGAGTGCAACAACAGAGAAATAATCCTGCGTGATACCTCTGCAGACAGCCTGGCCCTCCTCTTGAACTACATGTACTGCTCAGATCTCCCTCTCACTAACGCCAATGTCCAGGGCATCTCTATTGCAGCTTTTCTCCTGCAGATGGATGACGTATTCAATCGCTGTCAGCTGCACATGACCGAGAACATGGATGCCTCCAATTGCCTTGGTGTGTATTACTTTGCCCGTGACCTCGGTGCAGAAGACCTAGCTGACCACGCTCAGCGGTTCCTGAGGCAGCACTTTGTCCAAGTCTGCCAAAACGAGGAGGTCCTGGAGCTGGAGGCCCATCAGCTGGGGAAGCTCCTGACTTCTGATGACCTTAATATTTCACGAGAGGAGACCATCCTGGATGTAGTCCTTCGCTGGGTCAAACACAGTGCTCTGATAGATAGAGAGGTCCGTTTCCTGCACCTTCCAGAGCTCCTGAGGAAGGTCCGTCTGCCACTGATAAACCCTGACTATTTAAGAGAGGCGATAAAGAGGAACACGGCCCTGCTTTCTGATGCTGAATGTCTAGAGATGCTCAATGAGGCCTTGGATGCCACAGCAATGCATCCCTCAGCTGCACCACGCAAACTAAAGCTGCGGTACGGCATGGAGACCACAGATCTGCTGCTTTGTATTGGCAACGACGGTGGTGGGATTAGGTCAAGATATGGAAACTATGCTGAGCGCAGTTTTTGCTATGCCCCATCCACAAGCCGAACCTACTATATCACCTCACCTCGCTATGTAGAGGCTCTGGGGTACGTGTGTACCGGGGTTGTAACTGATGGGAATGACATTATAGTGGCAGGAGAGGCAAGTGCACGCAGAATGGCCCGACAGAAGGACATGAATGTTGAGATTTTCAGGTAAGAAAGACAGTAGGTGACAGATTTGATAATTCTGAAATGGCTCACCCCATACAGATGGTACCGATTGTTATGTTGGGTTACCAGGTACAAAGTAGAGGCCCAAGGAAGCTGGGAGCGCCTGACGTCAGCAGAGTACCGTGATTCATATGCTCTGGGATCACTGGGGGACACTCTGTACCTGCTGGGTGGGCAGATGAAGCTGAAGAACCAGTTTCTCATCACTAACTGTGTGGAGCGATGGTCTCTGCAAGGCGGACCCTGGCGCAGTGCAGCACCCCTGCCTCTGCCATTGGCCTATCACAGCGTGGTCAGAATGAAAGATCGCCTCTATGTGATGGGTGGTCGAACCCCACAGGTGATCAATTAGTCAGAACCTGCATTAAATTTGGTTCACTCTTCATTGACACATTGAGTATGAGCTCTGTATCTGTATCTGACTGCACCTGCTCTGTCTTTACTTCCCTCCAGTCATACCGGATGGATGATGAGCCTGACCGTCTTAGTAACCGCCTCCTGGAGTATAATCCAGACACAAATAAGTGGACAGAGTTAGGTCCCATGAAGTACTCAAAGTACCGCTGCAGTGCTGTTGAACTCAATGGAGAAATCTTCGTGATGGGTAAGCTTATTTGTATAAGTTGTTATGCATGAATTGAATTGTATTGATTTCTGTGAGAATTCATTTTACAAAACAACACAATTTGGTGATGTAACCTATTTTGCAGGCGGTATTGGATGTGAGGGTATGGATCGTGGGCAGTCACGTCACTGCCTCAATGCGGTGGAGATCTACAACCCAGATGGAGATTACTGGAGGGATGGACCTCCTCTCCCATGTGCACAACTCTCACTGCGCACCACTGCCCCTAATGCAGGAGTTGTAGGGGGAAAGATATATGTGTGCGGATACTACAAAGGAGCAGGTAATGAAAAAATATCCATATCCTGTGAATAAAAAGTGTTTGAGAGATGTTTTCAAGTGACTGTATCACCCTTTTCTATTTATTCTCTACCCTTAGATCGTCATGATGACATAACAAAGGACATTTTGGAGCTAGACCCCTGGGACAACCGGTGGACAGTGGTGGCTCGGCAAGCTCTGATGCATGACAACTATGATGTTTGCTTAGTGGCAAAACTCAACCCAAGGGGACTCATGTCCCCACCTGCAGACTTAGTTAAAATGTGACACCCCTGTCAGATCAGATCAAAGTCTCTTTTGAAGAAATAGGGATGGTAATCAATTATTAATTATTAATGCACTTAGTGCTGGGCCAAAGGCATTCATTTTTTCAAGCGGAAAAGGTCTTAGTGCCACGCTGCATGAAAGAGTATCTGCGGTTTATGATTTGCACGTTAGAATGAGAACAGACAGATAAATTGTAAATACAGTATTTTTGTTGTTTTTCTTAAATTGTATCTGCAGAGAATGATCATCTGAAACCTGCAGCTCTGTGGCACATAGCATTATCAGCAAACCAGGAAATGATGTCCTTTGAGATTACACTGACAAAAATTATAGTTATAATTAGGGCTGTAACCTTTAGTAAAGTTTAGTCTACAAAATTATTTAAAAAGTTGCATTCTCAAATTCTCGGAGGCCACAGTGAAGTCTTAATTGTTTGTTTTGTCCAACTAACAGTCCGAAACCTTAAGATATTCAATTTATGGTCAAATAGGAGAAGAAAAGTACACTGGAGAAGCGCAAACTAGGAAATGTTTTGCATTTTTGCTTGAAAAAGGACTGAAATGATTAACTGACCATCAAAATAGTTTTATTTTCTGTAAGTGGATTTAATCGTTGCAGCTCTAGTTATAATTATGGACTTTGATAAAAAACTGGCTTTGATACTAATTATACCAAAATTATGGTAAAGTATTTGGTCCGTTTTTACAGGGTACATTATTTAGTACATATACAGTATAAAAAGTGAATATTTTATATTGTATTAATTTGTTTTCTTTGCTATGCTTCCTAAAGCAGAATGAAACTGTTTTTTGCTAATAAAAATGCACCTTGGCAATATCAAAGAGCACGGTTGTTGTCACTCAATTCTTTTCAAAGTAGATAATGTAAATCCTACCTTAATGGTTATAATGCCCAGTTTTGTTTAAACTGTTTTTGAAAGGAGTTAAATTAGGTTCATAGTCACTCTCGAAATATAACTGGGGAGGACTAAATATAAAATAAAATTTAAAAAAACCATTGGTGACATATACGGGAGGTGACATGAAGAGGAAACTGCAATGGCTGCCTGTCAAGTTACTATTACTTAGTATCATTACATTACAATGTACTATTACTACATTACGTACTATTACTACATTACTATGTACTGTATCATTAATTTACTTAAATTTTATTGTATAGCGGCAATTTCTAACAGAAGTTATCTCAGGACACTGACCTGATCAAAACAGATCAGGTCTAGACCGAACTCCTTATAACATTATTTACAGAGAACCAACAGTTCCCACCATGAGCAAGCACTTGGCGACGGGGGCAAGGAAAAACTGCCTTTTTTTTTTAACAAGATCGGAATTCAAACATGGGTCACAGAAATTATACAGCAGATACATTTGGTTCCCAATGATTATTCAGGAGAATTGTGATTTGTTTGCAAAGCCTTTCAGTTTATTTTCAGTGTAAAGTCAGTAGTATAAATACAGAATAAGTTCATTTTAAAAAGTCAGCAGAGAAACTTACAACAATATTTTTATGTCAGCAGAAAACAAGATTACAAGCTTGAAACGTGTAATGCTTCGTGGGTCACTTTATCCTTAACTTAGGTCAACTAG